TTAAGATGATTATTGAGAGTAACTATATGGAAATTAAAGAAAGGGGCGTGCCTGTCTAATTTGATTTATTAATCTTATGAGAACCTCTCGTGGGTCTAGAGTAGTTTACACGTTGAAAAGATATACCAATACTAGTGTATATACACAATGGTAAACGGCGGTGTTTATACTAATTTATAGTGCAGGTAGAATGTCTTAACGCAAAACAGGTACAGGGGAATTCCGGTACCAGGTCTGCTTAGTGTAGACGATTTGCTAATGATTTATTAATTAGGTAGACCTGTTCACATATAATAATAGTGGGTAAATGAGGTCATTAATGTAACTGGTTCAAAGTTATTAATGACAGTAGGTGAGACGTAATAATTAATACTATTAGTTTATATTAAAGTGACAGATTAATTTGTGTAGCGTTAATAGTTATTTCACTTTAAAGTGAACAGAATTAAGGATTAAGATATAATAGTATCCAATTAAACATACATTATGCAAGAGCTAAATCTGCCTATTGTAGGTCTTTCTTTAGGCCTGAAATGTTAAATAAACTATTAATCACCCGTAAGTTACTAGACGGCTCCCGGTAAAGTGGTAATTTGGCGTAAAATCTAAACGCCTTAAAGCGGAAATTGCAAATTTTCTAAGAAAGTCAAAACGTAATTATTTCTATGTCTTTTGCTCAATAGGTTGTCAACTCACAATATTATTCGATCATAGGTGTCATTCTCACACTTTAAAACTAATTTACACAGGAAATAACACAATTACCTCCCTTGTTTTCTATTCTCCGCCATGGAGTGCGCTTTTTTCAAACGTTTGAAAATGAAGAGGAAAATGATATTTTTGCCAATTTCTCAGCTGGCAATAGTGAATTATGGGATTAATAGGATTATTCTTTAACAAGGTAGGACTGTTTATGGATACCATCTATTTTCAGGCTTTATTTTAATAAATTTTAAAAATATAACTTAAAAATTTGCAATTTCCGCTTTAAATAATTAAACACTCTGTTCATTTCTTGACCACGTCCAGGAAAATAAACGCCTTGTCTAAAAACTAAACCCCTTTCAAATCTAAATGGTAGTGTTCATTTCTAAAAAACATCCCGAGAAACTGGACGGTCGTAAAGCAGACGATCGTTGTCAAAAGTAAACGATGTTTCTTAATCTACACTGTAGCACAAACTGGGCGGTTTTTGGTGAATCTTGACGGCAATTAACACATTCTTAACGGCAATCTATTAGCTGGAAACGTGTATTAAATTCTTGACGATAAGCTTAGTTTCTTTCCTTTTTTCGTAAAGTCTGGACGATACCCGGTCCCTAGTGTATAATTAGACATTAATTAACGTATTATTCCAGACCATAATCAACTCTCGATGTCAATCGCTAGCCTGCGATAATTGTTGGATTATGATCCGATTTGCTGCATAACTTTCCTTCTCGATTTAACGATTAATTGGATAATCGAGACTATGATTATTGTCGTACCGACTTCAGTGATGATGACCGAGGCTATGCGGAACTTTCGATCGCTTATTTCTCGGTTCATAGTGGATCAATTTGACTGAAATATTCAGCAAATTGGCTTTACATTATCTAGTTTTTAACTATTGAGAACTGCCAACTCGTTATCTAATCTCCCATAATGTAATATTAATAGAAATGTTATAAATTAAGGGTAATGTAATTGAATAATTAGTAGTCTAATTGAGTCATGACACTGGTCGGTTACGGGAAGTAATGTACCTTATCTTAACGCACAGTAACACCGAACCAGGAAATGCTGGGCTAATGAAGACGGGCATACGCCATACAGTGTGCTATGAGGGAAATTTTGCCCGAGCAGCGGCACTATCGCCTACTCTTATATCGAATTCCAACTGCCAAGGGATCTTTTACGTGCATTCCAATGTATACACGGGACCTCGGTTTTTCGTATCATCCGAAGGACTAGACAGCTGTCCTTGTCAGGCCCTACGTCCTGCATCACTGACAAGGGGGAACCACGCCGGAAAATCTGGATGAACTTTCTCGGCCAATGCAGGGATCGAACACCCGACCTCCAGGCTATCGAGCCAGCGCCTTACCCACTTAGCCACGTGATCCCCCCAGACAGAGGAATTCCGGCATATAAGCAGATATGGTTCTAAAGAGGAAACGAAAGAAGTGTTAACGGATCACCAAAATTTAGTGCAAGAAACAGAACTATGAATAGGACATAATATTTATATAGTGTTAGAAACAGTGAACTTATTGACATTGAAACTGTTTTTTTTTTTATTGTGTTGGAACGTATAGCCGAGTATTTATATTGACAGTGAACTTATATTAATGTAGCATGTTTATCAGTATAATGATATTCTAGAATTAGGACTTACAGTTTTAATTGACATATTCAGGGATTTTAATTATTGATATTGTATTGTATTTATTGCATGTGAAATAATAAGCGTTAATTAAGCAGCATTCCTTATTTAACGCATTGCAAAGGGGCGTGTTTGTAATACAATGGGGTTTATTTTAGTTATAAGAAAAGTGTTCTGTTTAATATAAAAATTCTTTACCTACATGATGTGTGACGAAAACTAGGTTAATGAAGTAGCTTGCATTATTCTACTTCTATCTTAGACTAACTCACCGACAGTTATGTCAGTATCCATTGCTGGAAGTAGGGCTATAGTCCAGTCATCTCGTGCACGGATTAGTACAAACTAGAATAGATCACAACTAGAATAGTGTTGACGTAAAACGGTGCTTGTTTGATTTACCCTAAGATATCATGAGTCCGTAGTGAAGACATTATTCGGAGCTCAAGGGGAACATACCCATAGCCTCCTCGGCTTAGAGGCTAGGGTGAACACATCATCCTAGCGCGAACCTTATGTAGAACTATCAAGAAGTATGTGGCTCTTGCCACGTTTAAGCCGTTCTGGTCTGAGTTAGAAAGGACATTAAACTCAGACCGTGGATATTTCAATAACTCGAAAAGTACTATCATAACTTTGTAGTTTGCTTTATTTGTTTAATTATATAAACTTAGTAACAACATAAACGGTGTTCCAGAGTCAGTTGATTGATGATTGAAATAATTGATCCCACAACGTGAAGTCGAAGAAACGCCTAGAAGAGAGTGTCACATCTGTCTCCATAGTGTCACTGGTATTTTTATTCAGTGCCGTGACGAAGGATAGTCGCAACTTAACTCGACCCCGTAGTGCCACATAGCGTCCAATCAGAGGTTGTGACACAAACACACTCAAATCAAACATGGCGACCTCCACGGAAACCTTGACATTGAACGAACCTTGAACTTTGCAACTCTATCATCACAGGTAGACATTTTAGCTGGAAAGGGCAAGACTTGGTATTCGCGATGATCGAGGAATCGGATAGGCCCCCAACTGGTTCGCGAACTAATCGAAATGAGTGCCGAAATATGCAGGGTATTACGTGAAAGGATCGATAAGATGTACGGGGTTAAAGTGAGATCAAGCCGTCTATTGAAAATGCGGTGTCGCTGGATCACCGGCTGGATCATTACCAAGGAAGTCCTGCGTGTTCGATCCCGGTGTTAGTAGGGAAAGGTCCTCGGGCTTTTGCAGCTTGTTTACCCTTTGTCAGTGGTGCATGCCTCTATCTTCTATAAGCTATAAGGGGTTTCTACACCAGACAGAATGTCTTTATTCTTGCCAGACGTGTTGGGTGATGAGTGCTGCACTTTATATCACAGAGTGAAGCGATACGGTTTCGATAGCATGCTGGTACGTAGCATGCCTGTCTAACCTGGTCTAACCTCGTGTGTTTTCTCTCACTGCTAAAGACGCATACTTAGATACGCATCAGCAGATCTCCCCCTCCCCCCAACCCCCTCTCTCTCCTGCACCAGCTGGGTTAGTAGTAAAGACGGTCATGCATTGTCGTTATATGGACATTTTGCGTGGGCATCGGCGTTTCTGTCTGCTCGCCGTTAAGGGTTAATTTACGTGTACACCAACTTGTACGCGGGACCTCGGTTTTTCGTCTCATCCGAACGACTAGACGCTCTTCCTTTCTATAAGTCCAACACCGGGATGGAACTACGGGCACCCTGGTTACTTAGTGAGCCAGTTATTTGATCTGTATCCATATTTTGAGCGGTATTTTAGAATGCAGTCTCATGCAACAATCTAGAAACAATCTTGACTATCATATTCGAAGCTGCAATTCATTGTCTATTTTTAAAACCAAGTTAAAACAACACTTATTTAAACAGTCTTTCCATATCCATTTTACAATTATTTTATACGGTTTTATACATTTTGTATTTTATCCCTTTTTATATTTAATTATTATATAGTTATTCTATTCTGTTGTACAGCGCACTTGAACACTTTCCTGATAGGCCTACAACAGGATCTCATATACGAAGGACTAGACGCTTTTCCTTGCCAGTCCTTTCTCAACCAACACCGAGATAAAAATTCTGGGTGACTGTTGATATTTGATATGTATAAAGGGTGAGTAGGCCAATAATGTATTTCTATAAGTATCAGATCTTTAATGGAAATTTTTTATAGTTGACAAAATCTATTTCTATCGTTTGCCAACGATTCCAAATCAATTCGCGTAATTCTTCCAGAACTATAATTTTCGAATAGCATTTTATTTCTTCTTGAGGTAATGTGGACAAATTCGATAAACAATCAGGTTCAATAATCAACACCAGATTAAATATTTTTCAGTCGTTTTTTTTTTTTTTTAAACTGCTTTAACAATCGCCGATCATTTATCGTCAATAACCACAACTCACATTTGTGCGAGTGTGACGGACAATGACCAGAATATGCCCCCTTTTAACAGTTGATGCAAGTGCCCCGGTAACGTTTTCAGCCAGGGGTCACATGCGAACAACGTCTAAATAAACTGTTAGATTTAGTGAAATTTATGCTTATGGTGACATTATACCGCAATACAGATCCGAGTCCCGATATTAGACATAACCAACTACAGCAAGTGGCGGAAATTACAAGTCGATGCCGAGTTCAATAATGTTTTATTTATGAATGATTGATTATTTAATGTTTCGAATTTGATTTCTTCCATCATATTTACTTATCAGCCATGGAGGCTTCGCAGACAGATTTACTGGCTGAGGTGGCGGCCTTGGATTTAGATCAGTGTAAGGAAAGGTTTCAAGAAACTTTACCGAAAGTAATCGAAAAATTGAAAAATGGCAAAACTCTTGCAGACGAGAAAATGACAGCCGTGCAAGTGTTATGTAATAATTTATTACCTTGTGTAGAATTAGAATCCGTTGAAATGAACATATTCAGTAAATTATCTGGAGAAATTAAAAACATGTTTGATGAATTTTTGAAGTTGATTACAGATACATTAGGCTCACAAAAAAATAAACAAGAAACAGAAAACCAAAGTGAAATAGTTGACACAAACATTAGCAGTGCCCTTTATGAGGAAATAAATGTGTCACTGAGAAATATCCTTTCTCTTTTAGAGAGTGCTGAAACCTGCGTATTGTGTATGCTCCGACACGATGAAGCGATCTGTATCGGAGATATTGCGTCATTGCCAGAATTTGTCATGCATCTTGTTGAAGGGACATACAGACATTGTAAAGAGAGTAGTGATGTGTACAAGGATGATTTAAATTTATTTTCTGAAACTTTGTCGGCCATGTTTAAGAAATCTCATGCAATACAAATCAGTTTTTTAAGTTTGATGGACAGACTACAGCTTCCCGATACCATGACGACTAACAACGTCAAGGTTCTAAATTCAGTGTGTGACGGGTTGTTTAAAATTTGTCAGACTGTCACAGCTCTAGATGTCAAACTTATTGTCAGTTTGTGGAAGTCAATCTCGAGGCTTTTAGTCCAGTATATCCAGTTCCTAGCAGAAGTGGTGGATGTAACGGCTATGATCATATACCTGTGTCAAGAGATACGAACTGGTTACGAATATCTTAAGCAGCAATTACCCGATCTTGAACAACCAGACACATCATGGACTCAAGTTGACGAGAAAAGTTTCCAAAAATCTGTGAAAATTCTAGGATTTGAAATGAAAATCATCTTGAGTTTGTGCAAGGAATATTTAGAATATATCGATGAACAAAAATGTGATAAAGAAATTTATGAGTTATTGATTTTCATTTATAAAAATTCTCCGACATTTACACAGAAGATGTTTCGAGTTGAACACAGAGAAGAAATTGATCGACAGATTATGACAGCTTGTGAACCACTTCTTTCAAGTTTTATGGATCGATCTATTTTTGGCAGGTGCTTGTTAGGACCGATTAACATTCTTCAGGAAGATTGCTTAGCTCATTTACAAATGGTTATTTGTGTCACCAAGTCGTTTACCAAACTTTCTGAAGAATCACAAGATTTTTGGATGGGTAAAACGAAACCATATCAAGCTAACCATGATGATGTTATTGACACAGTTTTTCAATTGGTTGAACGATGTCACTTTGAACTCGCTGATCCGCGAATTCTGTTACCAGGAATCATGTGTTCTGGCACGGCTCAAAGATCAGTTAGTCTGTATGAATACCTAGCCACGCATATAAATGGTTTCATCGGAAGTTTGTTGAACAAATATTTTCCAATTCTAGAGAAGAGTTTGTTAAAGCCAATTTTTTCGTCGAACACCTTCGTTCAGATGTTAGCAATCGATTCTTGGTGTTTTATGGATAGATATGGCAGCTCAGTTTTATGTCGCTCGCATTTCAACTTTTTCCTGGATGTTCTTAAAGACCAGTGTCAGTGTTATCCAGTACTCTTACGTGATCAACAGCTTTGTAATCTGATCGGACGTTTATTCCGATTTTTGGAGCCTGTTGACCAGAATGATCTTATGTCAAAACATTCCATTCCCTTTGACTTTTTATTTTGGTGCGTTTGTCCAATAGTTGCAGAGCGGTTACAACCTCAAGAGAAGATGATAATCAATGATGTCATCACTTCCTGTGTAACACAGATTAACATGTGGTGCCAATCACCCAATCAAAACAAACATTCTGTGAGCTTAAACGCGGTTATTCTTGCTTGCGGTACTTTGAATAACATATTGCATCACATCCCCTACACTGACGCATCCAAATTGATGCCAACAATTACAGAAAGTCTTGCCCTAATATGGAGTTTTCTGTTTGACAATGAATGGGAGTCTTCTTTACAGATGGACATGTTCCTGATAGTTCTACTTCAGCTTCTGCCAATTATTCATCTACATCTGTCAAATGCAAAATTTACAGAAATTTTCGTACTTTTGAAAGAACTTGTTGAAAATAATCCATCAACGTGGCTATTGGCTGAATTAATCAAATTAGTTAGAAGTTTTTCTTTAGTGAGATTCCCTTCCGAAGAAATTCCTCTACTATTAAAAGATATATTATTAGCCTTATTGTCGAATCAGAACGGTTTACTAAGTCACATGGTAGTACAGGCAGTGACAATGTTTGCAGAAAGCACGCCTCACGGTGATATAGTTCCGAAATGTTTACAGACTGATGGAAACATCGAACCAAAACTTGTAAAGTACATTAACAAAATGCTAGTGATGGATATTGATTTAACAGATTTTCTCAAATCTCAATCGTCTACTTGGAAAAGCGGAAAAGTTTTATCATGGAATGACGAAAAGAATGAACGAAACGCAAAATTAAAATCACTTGAAAAAATCATGTCTGTGATTCCGCCTTCAAATAAAAGAGCACGGCTTGATGAGACAGATGAAGATCTGAATTACGAGACTTTGTTAAAGAACCTTGAATCTGATTGGTCAGCTTTACAAAAACTATCAAAATCTAATCCAGTTCCTGATTGGTTTAAGAACTCAAGTCGTTTAATTTTAGAAAAGTTTCAGGAGATGTGTAAAAATGTTGAATAAGAAATTCACAAATCAGTCTTTGCTAGTGGTCACATTAAATGGCAATTTCACCATTTAAATATCCAAGCGATTAAATTTGATTTCATGCGCATACAGTGTACATGTATGGTAATTCTTTTTGGTGCATTTTCAGATTGATAGAAATTGTGAATCTTTCAAATAAATATATTTTCCAGTGTTTGTATATTTTTGAATATTGAATGAAGAAAAATTTGTATTAATTTTATGTACAATAAGAAATATCAAATCAAACTAAACAAAAACAAGGGTTTTATTTTCGTACCCAAATCCAAGAAGTCTAGTTATTTTAATATGGAGTATTTATATTATACTAATTGTATATTATTAGGCCACACCAATATAATTTTCAGTTATTCAGGGTGTGAATAGCTACTTGAATCACATGGAAGATGTTTTGTTTAAAATTTCATTACTTTGGAACTAAAAGCTATTGAACAGTATAACCAAGTACTTTTCCTGAAGAAGCCAAAATTTTAACAGGTGTTTTCAAAGAACAGAAAATAAAATTGCTGTGGCTTTTGTTTAAACATGTATTTCTTATCATGTATTTGGGTCTTTACAAATGGTATAATAGGTTTCAATCACCACATTATGTGTGTAACCTTTATATATTTGTATACATTGTTGTAATTTATAATATCACGTTGCTACTATTCTATTTGCCTTTTTGTCTTGCTAACCCATATTTTGTTGAGCTGATTATAAAGAGAGTGAAGGGGAGGGGGGGGGGGGGTGTTGAGTGGTGTTGGTTCAATACCACTTTACTTGACCAACATAGGATCCTCTGGTTTCTGCCAAATGTTAAGGCCACCTACATTATTGAAATAATTTTCTACCTTATGTTGGTCCCGAAATGATCTAGTTTGTGGTGAATGGATGTTAAACCCCATTTCTTCCTCTACATGTATATATAAAGAGAATAACATTTGTTAATGATAATGATGTTCATTGTTTATTTTATAACTATAAATTAAAATCTTTATTCTCTTACACAACTATTTTATGACAATTTATTACCTTCCTGACTGTCTTCATTAACCCAGTCATGTCATTTCACCTTCCTTAATACAGGTACATCAAATTCTTGCTCAGGGAAGCCAAAATCCATTTTATCTGTAATACATAAAGCTTAGTCTTTTGACTGATATTTCAACATTGTTTCCTTTGTGCTGAAATAAAGAAACTGATATTTCGTGCATTTTGAATAGCAAAATTGGCAGGTGATCGAAATTAAATTAAAAACTCCGCTTATTAGGATAAAAAAGGTATTTACATGTACCGTAACCCCAACATTTTGGACCCTGATAATTCTTGATTGACCACATTAAAAACACAAAGACCATGGAAATCAAATTTTAGTTGTGTTATCATTTTCAAGTATAAAGAGACACTTGTCAAAATACTATGTAATTTACCAGTGTTTATATTCCATATGGTCTTTTTAAAATTTTCATGTCATCGCCCCTCTACAGGTCACAATGTTTATCCAATCTTACAAAATTTGAAATATTGGTTTACATGTATATCCCAAAGATCTCTGTTCCTTTCGATATTGATATGTATCAGACCCTAACTTCATAGATTATAGCCCCAGATTGTACAAAAAATCAGGTTTTTGCTTGTGAACACTGTAGAGGTCACAATTTTTATCCGATTGTGATGAAACATGAAATATATGTTTATAACGCAAAGATCGAACCGTAACTTCCTGTATTATAGCCCCAGATTTACGAAAAATCACTTTTTTTAAGTTTGTTCTACGTCCATCTCTTGCAAAATGTAGGCATATCATATCTTGCTTGGCTAGTTCATCCAGAGATTGATTTTTTTACCAACTATTTGTTGACATTAAGGGAGGGACAATCATCTATCTCAAGAAACTGTCATTTTCTTGATGTAAGCTGTAACTACTGGATGTAAACTTCCACGCGACAGAAACTAGGTCATTTTAGGACTAACATGGTTCAATTTTATTTCAGTAATTTGCTTGTGTGTAGGGGTCTTTAGCAATGGGAACAAGAAACCGGAGGACCAGAGAAAACCCACGAGGTTGGACAGGCGAGGCGACAATACTACTTGTGTCATGTACAAGCGGAGAATCAAAACCGCACCATTTGACTCAATACAGACCTTATGATCCAACACGCACGCATTAACCATTCAGCCACCCCTTCATATACGAATAAAATCATACACTCCATTCATTTTCTTATAAAATTCATCTGTGTATATTGGATGAGACAAAAACAATGAAGATATTATATTGTGACCTGTAGAGTGTCCACAAACAAATGTCTAGACCAATGGTTCTCAACCTTTTTCGGCACACCTTGGAACACATGAAAAAAATACCGGCACACCTGACTAAATATATATGAAAAGTGTTTGAATTTTGCAAAATAAAAACATGGCAAGTCATATACGTCATAGATCCTTAGACAGAGACACATTGAATGACCCAAACTAAATAAAGAAAAACACAACTACGAAGTTACCAGTAGACACCAGTGAATACTCAATTGGGATCACATGGTTTTTCTCAATTTCTTAGTGTGCCGTTCAAAATTTCGCTGCACACTTAGGAAGATCTCGTAGCACGACTGTGTGCCACGGCACACTGGTTGAGAATCACTGGTCTAGACAGACAGGGGCAACGACATAATATGTCCACATGAATGTGTATATATTGAAAGAGACAAAAACAATGAATATATTATTCACCTTTAATAAATATAACTGATATATTAAATCACATACATTAAAATTATCATTATATAATATTTACAACATTTTATAATTTATTTTTCTCTTTTTAAAGATGTATTATGTAAGAGCTAAATGTTCCTATTGCAGGTCTTTATTTTGGCCTCAAATGTTATTTAAAACATTTATTAACATAGCATATAATCAACTCTATAAACCATCAGATGGCCGAAATTTAAATGTATTTAAACATCCACAAGAGTTAAAAATTTAACAATAAAATGGCAATCAAGACTAAATCTCAGTTGTCAAGTACTGTCGCTATGATATTGAACAATCTATCCTATATCTTCCAACAGTTATAACTTCGATCAGAATAAATTAATTTGAATGAAATTTTCAATATATTCCTTTCTCACCATTATAGCAAGAACGTCTAGCTCTTTATCTAAATCTTACATAATCCATCATTAATCATTTGATTAAAAAAAAGGTGGTTGAACATCTTTGATTAAAGAAAGCTTGACTTGGGGTGATTGTATAATTTAAAGGGGGTTGAACATATTAATGTATTACTATATTCAGTTTTAAAGAACGGCTCCTTTAGACCATTATGTTAGTTTGAGAGAAAAAAAAGCATAAGTCATTTGATTTAGGCATAAATATTTCAACATTTGATTAATCTACAGATAAAAAAATGTCCATTTCGCAAATCAAATTTCCACATCAAATCAATGTGATGATTTCTACCCTCTATTATAGATTTTCTATCCGTGTAACTTGCTTTTAACTAGTACAGAAGTGATACTGTAGAGAGAGAGAGAGAGTTTAAAGTCCACTCGATACGAACCAGGTCATTTCGGGGCTAACATGGTTCAATTTTATTTTAATAACTTGCTTGTGCGTTGGGGTCTTTAGCAGTGGGAGGAAATGGAAGATCTGGAGAATACACACCAGGTTTGAAAGATTAATGAGATCAACCTATTTTGAAGTTATATCAACTTCAGGTATATATTATTTTAGGGATCGATCGCACACAACCTCACTTTGAATAGTTTTACCATTATTGTTCCAAACAGACATCGAAAATCAGTCCATTTGCTATGGTAGGAACAATTTAAATAATTAACCCTTTGAACCGTGGCCCAGAATACAAGCCTCTTCATCTCTGACAGCAACCTTCACGTGTTTACAACCCATGGCACCACAAGGCAGATTATTGGAGATAAACCAAGAAAGCAACCATGTAGTGCCTAAAATATGAGTGGTCGGTTCTCCTGCCGCAATTGTTACGAGTACATGGTTACGTGCATATATCGGACATCTTGGATGTCCCAGGCCGCATAAACGTTCAGGAGTTTGGTTTTGTCAAAGGCTTAAGTAAGTTTGCAGAACACACAATCCAATTTCTAGTTTATTTCACATGGACCAGACGTCATAATCACCATGGAAACCAAACTATGTATGGAAGATAAATCATTTTCATGGAGGAAAAATTAAGAGAGTAATATTCACTTAGATAATATTTCAACACACTTGATACGACCAAGACATTACAATCGATGAACAATGTATGATCTGTCAGATTCTGCGTGATTTCTGCGTTTTTTTGGCAACCGCAAAATAATATCACCCCACTTGTGTTCTTTCCAGCCACAAATCTTGTTAATATTGTGTGTAGCATTTGATACCAAGTGTGTATGTTCCATCAACACTAGACTATAAATCACGGAGTAAAACACTTGTTGCCGTAGTAACATCGTTATTAGACATACGTAAAGCTGTTCTCACACGATCTGCGTTAAATCCCATATCAACCAACTGCTGCACCTAAAAATAGAGCAGAAGAGAGGCGTTTTACATAGCATAAACCTCTTTCTCAATCCCATTCAGATAATATTGTTTAAAAAAACAAATAGAGCAGAAAATATTCAGATAATATTGTTAAAAAATAGAGCAGAAAATGTCCAACATCTGAATAATACGAGGTAGTCATCCAAAATATCTGATGATTACCTGAGGGGTATAAAATAATTACATGTAACGTATGAAGGGTGGTATATCATAATCGGTAAAATGAAATGAAATAGGGTTTAACGTCCTACTGTTCTGCTCCGACTATGCTAATGAAACGGGCAAACGCTATACAGTGTGTTATGAGGGAAATTTTGCCCGGAGAGCGGTGCTATGGCCTATTCTCATATCGAATTCCAACTGCCAATGGATCTTTTATGTGCACTTCCCAGTTTTTTGTCCCATCCAAACGACTATATATGTTGTCCCTTGCACTACTGCCTGTATTGAAATAATTCACAACCAGAGGATTTGAGGCCTACATACAAATAGTGCACTTGAGAATTTTGGTTCGTTTATCAAATGTCTGTATAATCTAGCCTACCTGTTCTTCTGAGACTGGTTGTTCTGGTTCCTGATTTTCTAATTGAGCTGCCGCTGCTGAAATAATGAGGGGCATGGATTTAACTTCAACAATTTAGTCATTTTGAGACTAACATATGGTCATTTATATTCCCATGTGCATTTAAATTTTGCAGTCAACATTTTGCCCACTATCCGAGTGTTGTTAGAGCTTTAGTAACATCGCACATGGATTATGCAAATTCTCTTCTATTAGGAGCACCAGAAACAGCTTTAAACAGACTACAAATAGCGCAAAACAATGCTGCACGTCTTATAACTAAAACACGAAAATTTGATCATATATCAGCTAAGTTACAGAAACTCCATTGGCTTCCAGTTCGAGCGAGGGTTCAATTTAAAGCTCTTGTGAATGTGTTTAAATCAATTTATTCTGACACCGCACCTAGTTATTTAAAAGAACTCTTTGATTTCTATACTCCCCAGCGATCCAACCTTCGTTCTTCAAGTGATCGTAGCATATTGAGGATCCCCAAATATAATAAGCGTTCTGGTGAATATGCTTTCTCCGTCAAAGCAGCAAAAATGTGGAATGATCTTCCAAAAACTCTTAGAGAGTCCTCTTCCATCCAGAGCTTTAAGACTAACTTAAAAACCTACTTATTTCAAAAATGTTTTTGAACTGTTTTGTTGTGAATGCGCTTAGAAACACTCATGTGTAATGAAGCGCTATATAAATCGAACAATAATAATAATAATAATAATAATTCTTCGTATTCCATTTGTCAAGAGATTTTCTACATAGAAGATCAATTTGTACACAAAACCTAAGATTTTCCATCAATTCCAAATGACAATGACAAGAAACACTTTTCTTTCAGATAGCGCTAGACGTTCTGTCAATCAAATATAACCTCAGACTGGCAGGTTGATGTACAATCTTGACAAAAGCAGAACGCGTATTCCTGAAGCAATGGCCCGAGAAATCCCTCTCTGGCCATTGCTAGATTGACATCTGATATTTGAGCTTTTGAGGGAGGGTGTCTTTTCTTCCCGTTCAATCAAATCTCTCCTAAGTAGCCTCCAGCAACATGACAGCCCTTCGTTTAATCTGGGGTCTTCTCTAAAACTTTGAACAATGATTTAAAGGAGTTAAATCACCAATATTTTGGGATCTAGAAATTGGCACAAATGGGTCGCAAGTCTCGCAACACATGTAATAATGTAATATGAATTTATATAAACTGTTTTACATTCAATCTTGTCCTTTTTACTGTGAATTGTTATCAGTTATGTTCGGCGAAATACGCCAGAAGTCTCAACCGCAAGTCAGTTTCTAGCGTCTGGTTATTCCAGTCAACACCGATATTATTTATTGCGCATGCTCTCCAAATAAGAATATGATATCACCGTTTGACATGACTTGTGGAATATGTCTAGCCTCATTCTTTGAGCACCTTGTTACAAATGGCGCTGAAACGCATTATGGTACACGATTCGTGTACCAATGGTAAAATGTTTATTTTGTCTTAAATATTGGATATCAGAAGCCCATCTTTTCCAGGTAAGATCACAACACCAATGTTGATTTAAATGTTGATTTTGGATGATATTGAGTTACGGACTTAGCTACTTTAAGGTATTAAAAACGGTGAAAGTATTGTTCATCTTCAAGCAGTATTGTTTACTACACTGAGCCGTTTGGTAGCCTCATTTGTCATGCAAACATATCTGGAGCCCTGTTTAAACTTGAATGATATTGTTATGCAGTTGGGTATTGGTTGTTACTCGGACTATTGACCAGTGATAATTTGGAACAGAAATTTGCTTTCGTTACATCAGTGTTTGAGTGGGATTAGGTCTAATCAAACGAAACACTGCGAGAAGTATGGTGGAACGTGATTCCAGCAATCGTCATTGGAAATGTCCGCTACCAATGGAGCCTAAAGGAAGATAAGTATCAAATATACCTGTATTATATCGTTGTCGTAGATTTTCCTGAATGTTGTTATTGCCAAATAATCCTTGAAATAAGTTCTGAATAAGAAAAATACAAATGGTAAGTGATAACATATCTGCTATTCTACAAAGGCTAAGCACACTCTGCTCAGCGCATGGCACTTTTATCAAAATGGGATGAATTTCCCTCAGTATCACACTGTATAGCATACGCCTGTCTTCATAAGCCCAGTCGGAGCAGAACAGCAGGATGTTAACCCCATTTGATTTTGTGGTCTACAGCATATGCAATCTGATTAAAACACAGATCCTTCTTCGTTTCGTTTTACTTGTCTTTACTACACTAGGATCTGGAAGAGTTGCTATATTACCAGTGTTTTGGTTGAAGTACAGGATAAGCCAATGAAACAGTCTGTTACGGCAACTTCTTGGCGTGCCATGCACAAAATTGTGGGTAAACCAATAGAAACATCAACGCTGATTGATTAATCAATGTCTGACGTCATAGGGTCAAAAGCCGCTCGTACGACCCCTGACACGACCTTTGAGTTCAACTTGTCAGATCTTCATGTAGTGTAGGCCATCGAAAGTATAAAAAAACGAAACGAAATATAGATCTGTATTTTAATCGGATTGCAGCACATATGTTAAGATATTAATGTCAAACTTAACACACCACCCAATGCCACTGATTTTATTATATACTAAGTAGTTTCTCATGCAAAAATAACAAAAAATCAATTATTTTAGATATGACAGGTCGTTTATATCAGCCTCTTTTGTGTCACATTCATTTTATGTTCCCAACTGATGCTCATCAAAACAATAAAATCATTACCTGTTGTTGTTGAGCATTTCCATTGGGTAAATGATTTGGATTTTGAAATGTTGACCACAACATCTGCTGTTCAAGACGATCTAGCTGTTCTTGACGCTGCAATTCTAATGTAGCGCCCATTGGTAGGCGTGTGTTTTTAGGAGGTGAAGATTTTAACAATCGTCCAATAGTTGCATCACACACTTTAGCTACGCATTTTGGTATCTGAATAACTGTTTGTAATTTTACAAAGTTTAATCGCCACAATAATCCAGCTACCTGTAAGAAAATATTTTAGCATTATCAACTTCCTGTATGATATCTGAACATCATCAAATTGATGTGTAAAATCTTAGCATTGTATAATATATTCTAAAATTATAAAATAATATTGATGTATAATATCTTAAGTGTTATCGAATTGATATATCTTAGTGTAATCAAATTGTATCTAATCAGTTTTTTAAAAATTAAATAATCAAAATTCTGATTTAGTATTTCAGCATGTTCTGCAGAAATATTTCTTCATCCAGTATTATTACTCAATGAGTCACAATGAATGAATGAGCCTGAATCGCTATCTCAGTGAGTCACAATGAATGAATGAGCCTGAATCGCTATCTCAGTGAGTCACGATGAGAAAGAGAAAGAGAGAAATGGGGTATAACGTCCACTCACACAGACTGGGTCACTTCAGGATTAACACATGGTTCAATTTTATTTCAATAATTCACTTGCACGTATGACAATTTGGCGGTTGGAGGAAACAGAACGATCCGGAGAAAACCCATGAGGTTGGACAGGCGACCCTACTCCTTGTTCGAACAAGCAGACAATCGAAACCATGCCACTTAACTCAATGACAGGAGTCTGATTCGTTGCTCACTGTGAGTCACGATAAATGGGGAAGAATATAAAACTTACTATAGAACAGACTGCTGCTAATCTGGACTCCGCTGATGTACTGGCTATCTGCAGACCCAATATATAGGTAAATGTTTTACCTGTCACAGGTACACCTACTATCGTTGTCATAGCTACACGTGGTATATCATAGTAATATGGTACAAACATGGGAAATACTAAACATAATCTGTTCATAGAAAAAAAAACCCATGATATAATATATAGCAGTGAAACATAATAATGTCATGGAGTGTCACTCTAATAAATACAGGACATGCCAATGTGTACACAGGACCGCTGTTTTTTGCCCCAAAACATTCTCTGTCAACACTGGGATCAAACTTGTGACCTCCAGGTTAACGAGTGAATACCTTACTGACTCAGCCACTGCGGCTCCTTATCCAATACAAGTATTGGGTTTTATTGCCCACTAGACACACACTTGGTCATTTTCGGGACTAACATGGCTCAATTTTATTTCAATATTTTGCTTTCTCGTAGGGATCTTTAGTAGTAATAGGAAAACGATGAATCTGCAGAAAAAACATGAGGTCACGTACAAGCGAGGAATCGAAAAAATGTCACTTGACTAAATGACAGACCTTGTGATCTGAAGTACACACAATAGACTATTGAGGCCCCCCCCACCCACCCATTACTAGTAGAATAAATGTGTATTTAATACTTACGGTCCTGAAGGTACAGACGTAATATCAAAGTCCAGAAAATTCTGACATAAATACAAACATAACAATTCTAATAACGTTGCTAATAAACCAGTTCCTAATAAATATGACTGAAAGTATAAAAACATTTTGGGTTGAAATGAGGTTCAGCGTCCTACTTTTATTCACCGATTGGGCTATGAGGGAATTTTGCCCAGGCAGTGACAACACAGACTAATCTTGTATCGAATTCCATCTGTCGAAATGAAATGAAATGAAATGGGGTTTAACGTCCTACTGTTCTGCTCCTATACTGGGCTAATGAAGACGGGCATACGCCATACAGTGTGCTATGAGGGAAATTTTGCTACTCTAATATCGAATTCCAACTGCCAAGGGATCTTTTATGTGCATTCAAAAGTATACACGGGACCTCGGTTTTTCGTATCATCCGAAGGACTAGACAGCTGTCCTTGTCAGGCCCTCCGTCCTGCATATTCCATCTCTCTAGGGTTCTTTTACATGCATGCCAATAAGTACACAGGACCTCAGTTTTTCGTCCCATCTGACAAGTCCTGCACCACTGACAAAAAGAATCTTGTTGGAAATTCCGAAGGAATTTATGTTATGAACAGACTGTATTTGAATTTACATTCTTTGTAGTCTGTAGGCTCAGCACGAATGGGTGTCCACCAAGTGGGCACAAAACCAGACCCAACTTTTTAGAGTAAAATTTTGCGTAGAATACGATGCCGAGTGGTAATCAGTCCGCCGTTGGGGCGTTTTCGTGATATTCGGGGTCAAAGGTCAAATGGGTTCATTTGCACTGAAAGTGAATGCGCAGTCTTTGTTGTATCATGAATATAAGCTGAAAATGCTCGAAAGTAATCACACTTTCAATAAAAATGTAAACTTGCTAAATTCACCTTTGTTCTTTGTGACCACAGAGGTCAAAAGGTCACATTTTCTGTTTTAGCACTAGGAAGATTTAAAGTAATAAATGTCTGCGTAAAATATAACCAGCGGGTGCCAGGCAGGATAAGCCCACATTTTCGAGAGATGGATAGAGAACGAGCTAAAAAGAAAGTGATTTTTCCTACAATCAAGGGCCATAATTCAGGAAATTACAATTCGATATGCGCAAATTTCGAAAGGAACTGAGATCTTTGCGTTATAAACTTACATTTCAAGTTTCAACAAAATCAGATAAAAATTGTGACCTCTATAGGGTCCACAACCTTGATATACCATATTTTTGGGGCTATTTGAGAACGAAGGGTGGCCATTTTGTCTGTCAGTTTTGGGCCGATTTTCACGAAATTCAAACTCAGCCGTCCTTAGTGTGTAACAGTGATATAATAATACGTTTTTTTAAATCAGATAAAAATTATGACCTCTATAGGGTCCACAAGCTAAAAACGTGATTTTTCGTACAATCAGGGGTCGTAATTCAGGAAGTTACATTCCGCTATGCGCGAATATCAATAGAAACCGAGATCTTTGGGTTATAAACTTACATTTATGTTGCACCAAAATCGGATAAAAATTATGACCTCTAGGGTCCACAACCTTGATATACCATATTTGAGAACGAAGGGCGGCCATTTTGTCCGTCAGTTTTGGCCCGATTTTCATGAAATTCGAACTCAACCGTCTTTAGTGTGTAACTTTGATATAATAATATGGTTTTTTAAATCGGATAAAAATTATGACCTCTATAGGGTCCACAAGCTAAAAACGTGATTTTTCGTACAATCAAGGGCCATAATTCCGGAAGTTACGGTCCGATATGTGCGAATATCGAAAGGAACCGAGATCTTTGCGTTATAAATTTACATTTCAAGTTTCAACAAAATCGGATAAAAATTGTGACCTCTATAGGGTCCACAAGCTAAAAACATGATTTTTCATACAAACAGGGGTCATAATCCATGAAGTTTTGATCCGATACATGCCAATATCGAAAGCAGCCGAGATCTTTTGGGGATAAACCTATATTTAAAGTTTCGTCAAAATCGGATAAGAATTGTGACCTGTAGAGAGTCCACAAACAATTGTGGACGGACGTCCGGACGGACAGGGGCGACGACAATATACGTCCACATGAAAATGTGGGCGTATAAAAACTAAAGCAAAACCTGTTCTAATTAATAATAGGATCATTTAAAATTTATCTTTTACTTTGGAACGTCGACAATGATCTTGCATAACAGAACCAAAACGCTTCGGAACCTGTTTCAAAAATACGTAAGAACTGTTAAATCAAAATCTCTCTGAATTAGTTTTACAACGAATGCTATACATAATGATACTTTTAACCTCGTCGTCAGATACGTGTTTTCCCGTCACAGATTAACGTCGATTTTCGTAGACTGGGATTCTCGGAAATCAACGCGACTTGCAGACTGGTGTCCAACACTGAAACCATTCAAATGTTTTTCAGATAACTAGTATCTTTATGTATAATAATCGCTGTGAAAATAAATCGGAGAGATTTCGATTTGACAGTTTTTACGTATTTTTGAAACAGGTTTCAAAGTGTGTTGGTTCTGTTATGCAAGATCATTTCCGACATTCCAAAGTAAAAGTTCGGTGCTAAGACCCTGTAAAGATAAATTTTAAATGTTCCTATTTATAATTAGAACAGGTTTCGCTTTAGTTTTTATACGCCCACATTGCAATGTGGTCGTATATTGTCGTCGCCCCCATCCGTCCGTCCGTCCGTCGATTTGGCGTCCACAATATCCGATTGACTTTAAAGTTATATACAGAGTTTAAGGCCATGAGACGAAGAAGCCTATTGATTTTCAGCGATTTCTGATAATTACTGCCAGAGTTATGGCCCTTGATCACTTCAAAAAATCTTGTGGACGCTCTAGAGGCCAAAGTTAATATCTGATTGACTTTAAATTTATACACAGTGTTTAAGGTCATGAGACGAAGAAGCCTATTGATTTTCAAAGATTTCTGATAATTACTGCCAAAGTTATGACCCTTGATCACTTTGAAAAATCTTGTGGACGCTCTAGAGGCCAAAGTTAATATCCGATTGACTTTAAATTTATACACAGTGTTTGAGGTCACGAGGCGAAGAATCCTATTGATTTTCAAAGATTTCTGATAATTACTGCCAAAGTTATGACCCTTGATCACTTTGAAAAATCTTGGGACGCTCTAGAGGCCAAAGTTAATATCCGATTGACTTCAGATTGATACACAGAGTTTAAGATCTTGAGGCGAACAAGTATGCTAAATCCATGATACAGTATTAAAAGTTTTGTGTACAAAATGTTAGCATGGGGCAGAACTTTATAAAAACCAAACAAATTCTAATGGTTTTCTGAGTTGTTGCTCTTAATCAGATTTTAGTGTATTATAAATGTTTCATTACCGAAAAAAGTAAATATATGCGACAACTCTTGTTGACTGCCCGGACGATTTAGCTGCTGTGGGCGTATGTTTCGTTGCCTGGCAACCTATCTTTATATTTTATGTTGACATTTTATTGCTTTAAATCTTCCTAGTGCAAAAATGGTAAATTTCACCTTTTGACCTCCAGGGTCACTAAAACTAAAGGTGAATTTAGCAAGTTTACATTATTATTGAAAGTGTGATTACTTTCGATCATTTTCAGCTTCTTTTCATAATACAAGAATGACTGCGCATTCACCTTCAGTGCAAATGAACTCATTTGACCTTTGACCCCGAATATCTCGAAAATGCCCCAAGAGCGGACTGATTACCACTCGGCATCGTATTCTACGCAAAATTTTACTTTAGAAAAGTTGGGTCTGGTTTTGTGCCCATTTGATGGACACCCCCCCACGCTGAGCCTGCGGTCTATTGTATTGTAAGTAAAATTTAATTTTCGTCAAACACTTTCTTATCTGTTCAAATATCCATCCCAAAATTTCAGCACATACGTCATTATTCAATATTAAATAACCGACATTTAAATTATCATTTTCAACCCACCCACCCAGTTCCGAGATTTTGCGAAGGTCCCTAAGCAGCAAAGAATATAAAAACTATGGATTTATTTTTGTTTAACTTACTGCAAATTTACGGGAGCCAAATCTGCGCTCAAAAATTCTAAAATAATAAATCAGTAATGAGCAAATGAAGAGATCTTTCATGTCTAAAAATGCCAGCTTCGATGTAAATAAACGCCATATCTGAAATTAAACAAATAGAGAATAATGATAATAAAAAAGTGAATATTTATTCAGCTCATTACACCACACCAGTAAGGGTTATGCTCAAAGCATGACACATTCATTATCCTCAGGTAAAAGTTTGATTTCCTCCCTTTACCACTAAAGAATGCAGCTGGGTTTTTTTTTTTGTGTAATTTCATATACCATTCTACCAGTATTTCTTTCAATAATTTGCTTGGGCTTATGGGTCTTTTTGCTATGCGAGGAAACCGGAGGACCTGGAGAAAACCCATGAGGTTTGACTGGCGACTCTACTTCTTGTCACTTGACTCAATGACAGACCTTATGATCTAACGTGCAAGCGTTAAACCATCGGCACCTAACCCCGCTAAACATCCACAGAGACTGTTGGTCTAGGTTCTATATTTTTCTCTAGAACATCTGATGCAACTTGTCATTTATTTGGAAGGATCTGTCATCACGACATCAGTGTGTTTTATTTACCTGTTGTTTTTGTAGAATTTGTTGTGTCGTGTAGATAAAATAGGGTTGATAATTCTGTAATGGTATATTCAGGGCAATTGATGTTACAACTGAAGTTCCCAGTAAACCTTTACTTACTGGAGCTTTATCTGAAAAATTGAAAAGTAAATCAAATAATGTCAACTAAATAAACAAGAAACTATTGATTTGTAAAATTGGTGAACAGCAACAGTGCATATTTACACTCTACTAGAGTCAGGCACTATAGAGGAAGAAGAAGAACATTGTAAGCTTCTTTAATTTCATCGTATGAGTGTCGGCACTATTGCACTTTCCTAGACCTTGGCTGTAGAAACTTTAAAGTGAATAATGACATCAAATTTCAGGTGACCAGATATAAAGTTAAATAACTCAAACGGGTGGCACTTATACTATAACCTTACATATATGGTGAAGACTGCATAAAGCAAACAATTAAATGAGTCTTACCCATATCAGTATAATTAATTCCATCATGCTTACTGTCTGACAAAATGACAATGAGTCTGAAACAAGTGATTTGAGGTGAGTGGCTCGGTGAATGCATGAGGCACTGTGATGGTCGAGGAAACTTGTACCTCAGTATTTTCCAGTGTGGTTTCACCTTGTCAGTGGCAAGGATCATTGTCTAGTCAATAGCCAGGACAAAAACACAAGGACCTGTGTACACATTGGTGTGTATGTAAAAGAACTCTTACTCTGGGAGTCTGAATTCATAATAAAGGCAGAGTAGTCCTACCCTACGTACAGTCTCAGACTGTAGTGCCACTGCCTGGGTAAAAATGTTTTATCATAGCATTGATGGTGCAGAACAGCATATCGCTAAACCCAGTTTCATTTCGACATGAGGTGAATTATAAGATATGTCACTATTATAAGGAGTGTGGGATGGCCGCATGATGGTGACATGAATTTGAAATGATGAATATCAAATGAATAGGCCTATTCCGCACTGACGATACAGAGAAAGGCCTTTAATTTTCAAAAGGAATCCACTTACAAAAGCCGGATGAACCATAAACTGAGAACATTCTATTTTCTGGATCAGAGTTTCAATTGTGTCTGAAAAACTTAACACCACGTAACTAGAAGAAAAAACCCAGTTGATTACATAATGGTCAAAATTGTCATTAATCTCAGAAATAATTTCTGAAATTAGAACGGAAGTTGATTTCGGAAACGGAAGCAAGGCCGCTAACGTCATAGGCAAGACAATACATTTTGATTAATATAAGAAAATTTTACTAACTAAGCAATCTAAAATGGTTGGTACTCATGGGTTTTGGAATATATGTCTGAAAAAAATAACAAATTAAGGTGAATGTTTTGTAGATATGGTTAGTGGGTTAGTGATGTAAGCGTCCCCCTAAAAAAACTCCCAGAGTTACTTCCCCCTAATTAAAAATCCGACATGTTGTCAAAGTCGATAATATCATAATTATCATTATTTTATCTGTTAGTTAATTAGTAGACTGTGTATAACCTATTACACGAACATGATCTGAACTAGTGTTTCGGAACCCCGAGACAGAATCTATAAAACTCAAAATGGTACCCGAAGACGACAGCGAAGTGTTTGAAATTACAGATTTCACAACAGCTTCAGACTGGGAAAGATTTATTGCTCGATTTGAAGAAATTTTGCACGAATGGAAGCTTGTCAACAGAGGGTATCTACAGCCTGTTAGAAAGGGTGATTTCCTAAATTGCAATTGGGAAGAAAAAAATGATGAACTCCAATTTGCTGATTTCAAATTTAAAGTGACCTACATGGTTTTAAAAACGTCATCATCTGCTTCCAAATCGGGAAAAGAAACAAAAGAGGAGGAAAATGAAGAAGACCAGGATGAAGGAACACCAACAGTTTTCTCCGATCTTATGAATATGGAAAATGATTTTCCTTTCAGAGCTCATTGTTTATCACGCTGGTATGGTCTTCAGGAATTCCTTATTATTTCTCCTGCTTCCACTACAGATGCCATTGATAGTGAAAGTCGGTCAAAATTACTCCTCAGTTCTGCTTCGATAGCGCTTAATAACACTGGGTGTACTATACCGGTTTATGTACAGGTTCAACAGAGATGGCGGAAACTGTATTCAGGAACGGCCATAGTACCCGGAGCCAGTGTAGAATTTGAAATGGCTCACTTAAAGAAAATCCCACAGCAATATAACCATTTAGCTGGTCTCCTCGATGTCTTCAAGTCGAAACTTGGCTGTGTTTACATTTCAATGCCACCTGTTTCAGTTTCTGTCAGATTCACTTACATTTTACAGGAATGGATTCATTGTCCCTGGCCTCAATCCCCACCCGATTTTTCATCATTTCTAGAATGTGAAGTTGGCTGTTCTGATTACGGGGTACTCCCATTTGGAGCCTGCATTGATCCAATTAGTGAACTGAACTTGTCATGCACATGGCCAAGTCTGTCAGAAGATATGATTGTTGAAAATCATGTTTATTCTGACCTCGATCCTCTCCAGGCTCCGCAATGGTCAGTCAAATTACAAATGACAGAAGACGCGCAATGTTTGTTGGGCGAATATCTCAGAGAGTTTTTAAAGTTGAGTCAACACAAAGAAACAACAGATGAATTGTTGGGACATATTTTAGATGAAACAGACAAAGACCAAGCTGGAGATATTACTCAAGCCCTTCAACGACTAACAGAGCCAGCAGTTGGCTACAACATACCTACATTGGGACATGTCGTTTCCTCTGCTACCACCAAATTAAAAATGAAACCAGATGAAGCTCCAATTCCTGGGGATATACTAAATGGAGTTTTGCTTTTTCTCTTCCCAGACGCGAAGAAGTCTGAGAAGTCTGAATCGAAAGAGAAAGAAACTGTAGAAAAGAGTCCGAGATCATTGAAACTAATGGAAGATTTGTCTAAACAGTTGAAATCGTCACCTGTCAATGGATTAACTCACAGATTAGCAGTTTGTTTCTGTATTGTCAATCATCACCATGGAGGTTTGCGCGCAGTCGCTCATCTGTGGCAAGAATTCGTCCTTGAGATGAGATATCGATGGGAGAACAATTATTATATTGCGGATGTTGAACATGGACAACCTAACATGAAGGCCAGCATCTTGCACCAAAAACTTCAGATGTTAAACTGCTGTATTGAACGAAAAATAAAACGAGAAAGTCTTGGTTATGGTCATGGTAAAGATTTAGAACATGATCCTACTCCTACAGACCATGCAGATGGCAGTTCACGACCCTTGTCTCCGACCTATCAGCGTCGACCGTTATCAACTAGTTCAAGATCACAATCTCCGTCTTCTGGATCAGTGGGTAAAAGACGTTACGAAAGCCTCGACATCAGTTCCAGTGATGAAGAATTTTTTGAATGTGATACAGAACAGGGGGATGATGAAGCAGATGGGGAGGACCATGAATCTTTCGCAGATACCACTTCCCATAAACCTGATGGCCGTTTAGCCCCTATAAAGGACCTAAAATTATTGAACTCCGGAGAACAGGTTTATATACCCATAACCCAAGAACCAGCACCAATGACTGAAGATATGTTGGAAGAACATGCTGAGGTTCTAGCCAAGCTCGGAACATCAGCAGAAGGAACTCAACTAAGAGCCAGAATGCAAAGTGCATGTCTGCTCTCTGATATGGAGTCTTTCAAAGCAGCCAATCCTAACTGTATCTTGGAAGATTTTGTGCGCTGGTATTCTCCGAGAGATTATGTGGTGGAGGAACAGGAAGGAGAGGATGGTGAAAAGGTGAAGACAGGAACTCTAAGTCCGAGAATGAAGATTCCAGGAAATATGTGGGTTGAAGTCTGGCAGAGTGCTAAACCTATTCCAGCTCGCCGACAACGTAGGTTGTTTGATGATACTAAAGAAGCAGAAAAAGTTCTTCATTTCCTTGCTTCCATGAAACCTGGACAAGTTGTCCTTCACATGATGCCGATGTTGATTCATGCAGCGATTGTTAAAGTTATAGAAAATGAGGATCAGGATACTGAAAATCTCAAAGTTTTGTTAGATCAAATAATGAACAAGGCTGCTAAAGTTACCAGGAGTCCATTGATGGATGCTCGTAAATATGAAGACTTGGTGCGGATGATCGAATTAGCAGAAACTGTTATCGCAAGAGCTAAATCCTTAAAAACTAAATTCACCACTGATTTGTTGGACATGTCTAGCGCAGAAGAGGAACTTCAAGTTTTTGTAAATAGTTTGTTACGTCAGCCAGAAGTGATTGTTCGTGGTGGACCATGTGGACCAGCTGGTTCAATCATCCATAAACTTTTTACAGCAGCTCAACGAGCTTCGCATATGGTTCTTGATGAGGAAGAAGGGGAAATAAAACTTGAGGAACTTCAAAAACCAACGAGTACTGTACCTGACTTCCCGCGACCCTCTGCAAGGGAGTATATTTTACGTGCAATGGTTCCCAGACCTGCTCCCTATTCACGTGTTCTTCCACAAAAGATGTACTGTGTTTTAGTGGATGACTTTAGACTAGCTGGTGCCTTTTCTAGTGACACTACTTTTCAGTGAACTGTGAATTTCTATTCCACATAGTGATAAATACAATGTTGTGATAATATTTTTCAGAAGAATATCATCATGTTATTTCGGATTAGACGACTGTTTTATTAAGCTAATTATAGGATGTCTATAAAATAACTGACTGAGGCCACACAAATTTGATTTTCTGTTCTTCGGGAACACCTGTAAATATTTTCCCTCTTATTTCTTTGAGAAAAAGACTTATTTAAAAACCAAATTGTGCTGTTCAAAACCTTTGATGTTTTAAATGTGTTTCAGTCTTTCACGTGATTCACTTAGAGAAAATTAAAATTGTGTGGCCTAAATGAACCTAATTGTGGCATGTATAAATTCACATTCACAAGATCAAGCCTAGAAATAAGGCACCTGTCATAGACATTGTCAGGCACACCTTCAGGTTTGTCCAACACAATCCCTCTGATGCCAGTCATTCTGTCTGGAACTAATTTGTATTTTTTCTGTGTTTTCATTGAATTCAGTAATATATGTCTGTCACAGACATCGTCAGACACAATCCTGCTGGTCCCCGTCTGTCACAGACATCGTCAGACACAATCCTGCTGGTCCCCGTCATTTTGTCTGGCAAATAATTTGTTTTTTTTCTGTGTTTTTATTGGTATGTGTATTATTAATACACGTCTGGCACAAAGTTCAAATGTCTGATAATAATTCATTAGCTAAAACAGTTATTCTCTGGCCTGATAAGGCCACAGTTAATTGTCTGTTTCTCATGAATGTGCTTGTATGCTACATTAGGTAATTATTAATTATTTAAAAATTTAAATCTTGTTTCTATTTCAGCAATTACTAATGTCATTGTTGTTCTTGCATGAAACGGCAACTTTCATAGCCTGTGAAGATTTGGTACAAAGCTCATTCTTGAGGGTAATGATATCAAAACTGGCAATCCAGTCTTTTTCATTTTCTAATTTTATTAAGGATATTGTTTTTATGCAACCATTGTGAATTGAATCAACATGTCAAGATATTCATGATATATGTACGTACATGTATATTTAATATATTATATAGATATTGTATATTACATGGTTGTCATAGTATATATACATGTATATGTGCATATTACATGGTTGTCATGGTATACATGTATGTAAATATACATGAACATTCATGTATATACATTTATAACATGTGTACATTTTATGAATGAATTGTTTTATTAAAGATTAATTTATTGCAATTTTGTTACAGTGGGATAATTGTGTAAGTAAATATGGTGGCCATTTTACTACAGACATAGCTTGACTTCAGGATATGTTCTGTGGTCTTATGGAGTCATCAAACTAGATTGTACACAACTCTTCAAGGGATACCTGTATGTATGTATATAGATAGACTAAAAAGCATAGAGAATCTCATACACTCTATTATTTGAAAGAAATATATATAAATCAACAAATAGTTTATTATTTGATAAGTCATCAAGCTTAAGTATCCTTCTTAAAGGCTCCACGAGTCATTTAGTGCTATAGGAATTCCTTGCAAACTACAATATTGTCAAAGTTTAATCTATAATGGGAATATATCAGTCAAAAAATGGTTCAATTAGGTTCAGTATTTACAAAGTTATGATAAATTGAAATTTCATTGATCTATGCTGCTCGAGTATAATCAGACACTGCCATCTTTTTTTGGTAGCAGAGAATCCTGATGGGCCTAGTTTAAATCAGATTAAATCCAAGCTGAAACTGTGAGATTATCTAGCGTTGCTATTTTGATATTAAATGTTAAATACGGGTAATCAATCTAACTACATATTCAGCGTGTATTGAGCCGTGAGAAATTTGTTATTTTAGCGAAAATGTCTACTGTCATGGATTAATTCTTCTGAGCTAAAATGTGAATAAGAGATTGTATCTATTATAGCCATTTGCATTAATCCATGCTAAAAATGCACTCAGATTGATTATTTAAAGGGACATTATGGAAGATTAGATAAAGAGCTGACAGTTCTCGCTATAACACTAATAACAGTTAAAAAATAGGTAATTTAAAGGGACTATGCTGAAAATTTTAGTCAAATTACTTCAATCTCAGCTGAGAAATTCTTATTTCAATAACACTGTAGCCTCGATTGTCATTGTTACTGTTGTTACAATAATAAACAAAGGCTTGATTATCCATTTTATGGTAAATCATCAACTACTGTTGAACGCAGATCAGATTCAAATCTGTTTAAAATCGGACCCATCAGATGGCATCGATTGTTGATTATGGTCTGGTCATGTTAATAGATGTTTAATTTATAGTTTAGGAAACATTTAAGACCTAAAGAAAGACCTGCAATGGGCAGATTTAGCTCTTGCATAATGTATGTTTAACATTTAATTAAGAAAACAAAACAAAAATTTGAACTATTATATCCTGGCTTGGATTCAATCTGATTAAAAAGAGGCCAGTCAAAATTTTTACCTGATACTTTCTGTATTAATAATGTTAAAATAAAAAAAACATTTATCTTTATCACTAATATGTGTTAATTATAGCACATATTAAAGATGATATAATTATGATTATTGACAATCATGTTCATGTGGTCCTCATACTGTAGTAATAATACTATAATACCTAAACATGTATCCAGTGCCGGACTGGTGGGCCAAAGGCCCACACAAGTACGCACCAAAGGCGCATAATGAGCGCACCCAAGGCACGCGAATGTCTGAGGGGGGGGGGTGTTCTCCCCCCAGGAAAATTTTGAAAATTGACAACCACAAACCCATTTTCAAAGCATTTCAGAACATTTAGATAACAGAATGACCTAAGAAAACTATCATTAGATGAATTTGAGAATTCTCTTCAGTGTCAAAAACAAAAACCTTTTATTCTCCGTGATGAAAATAATGCAAATTATAATATAAAACGTCCACCATAACACTATTTTGCCTGGTCTCCAGGCAGAAATCGAAAGTGAAACCCAAACCCGGAAGTAATTAATTTTTTGCGAAAAAGTCAAAACTGGGAAGTTTTTGGAGATTATTTTGGCGATAATGACCTCTGAAGAACTATGAAGAACAAAGTAGAGGTTAAAAGATGAATTCCACGGTTCTCGGTATAAAGTTCTTTCCTTGTAGCACACTTCTTTTTTTGTGTTGTTTGTCAGTCATTTTTTTCCTATCTTTTCTTTCTCCTGTCCTGTGTCCTGTCCTCTCCCCCCCTTCTTTGTTTTCTTTCCTCCCCCTCTCCTTTCTTTCTCTTTTCTTCTTTTTTTTTTCTTTATGGGCTTAGGCCCACTTTTTTTAATGAGCTTATAGGGCCACCTGTCACGGACAGGTGGGCCCAGTCTGGCACTGCATGTATCTTTATCACCACATAATGATTCCTGCCATGTGTTTTATGTCACATGTTAAAGGTGATATACTTATAGCATATGTTAAAGGTGAGCTATTCAACCCGTCAACCATGTTAACCTCAGCACCATGCTGTATTAATAATATTTTAATACCTATGCATGTAGTAGCACAGTTGGGGAGATGTTGGCTCGCTAACCTGGAGGTCCCGTGTTTGATCCCTGTGTTGGCTGAGAAAGTTCATCAGGATTTTCCGGCATGTTTCCTCCATGTTAGTGGTGCAGGACGAAGGGCCTGGTAAGGGATAATGTTGGTTGTTCGGATGGGACAAAAAACGAGGTCCCTTTTACACATTGGTGTGCACGTTAAATATCCCTTGGCTGTTGGAAATCGACTACGAGTACGCCAAAGCTGTCCACTCACAATTTCCCGCCATGTCACACTGTATGGCGTTTCCCAATCCACCCAATACCTCAATCAGACAAATTTAGACAATAACTGATTTAATGATATACAAAATATACAAATAATAAAATGATATATGAACAAATGAGTATAAGAACCGGTACAAGTTTAACAATGTACAGGATTCTCATAGTCTTTAGTCCAATTTTACCAGTATTTGGTTGAAGTCTTCTTTGTTCTTGGTGCTTCTATTGCTTTGAAGTTTAGTTTTCAGACAGTCCTTTACAGATGTCTTTTCGGCATTACCGTAGTAATTCCCAAGTTGTCAGAACTACACAGGATCTTGATGATCCAAAACTGACAGGATGAATAATCCTTGAATCGGTAATAATCCACAACAATAATCATAAACTTGGATTACAACAGACAGATCAAGTCTCTCAAAACAGCACAATGTAAAACAGAGATTATTTCTCTCAAAACAAAACAATAAGTGCAACAGCAGGATATGGCAATAAATTGAGAACACAGACGGCTTGGGGCAAATAGAAACTTACCACAAACGATGAGTTGTGTACAAAGTGATAAGAAAGTTCTGCCCTCGAACTGGTCTGGTTCAGCTTCTTTAGTTTTAGGAAATTCTAGAACTTTCTGAAACATTCTCAAATTTTCCACGACTTTCCAGAACCTTCCAACTTTTTTCTAAAACACTCCAGAACCTTCCAATTATTTCTAAATACTGTTTCCAGAAGTTTCCATGGTTTCTAGAATTTTCCAAATGACGATTTCTAGATCGGTAATAAACAATAGATGTTGATGAATTATCGTGACCTCAAAACAGGTGTATGCCCGTTTTCATTAGCCCAGTCGTAGAAGAACAGTAGGACGTTAAACCCCATTTCATTTCCTTTCATATATCTTTTTCACCATATGATTCCTGCCAATCATGTACATGTCAGCACCATGTTGTATGAATAATGTTGTACTAAACATGTATCTTTATCACCATGATTCCCGCCATGTTTTATGGCACCATGCTGTATCAATAATGTTATAATATTAAACATGTATCTTTACCATGATTCCCACCATGTTTTATATCAGTAATGTTATAATACTACACATGTATCTTTATCCTATGATTCTCGCCGTATGTTTTATGGCACATGTTAAAGGTGACATACTTAACCTGTCAATCATATTAACATCAGCACCTGGCTGTATCAGTAATGTTATAATACTACACATGTATCTTTATCACCATATTCCCACCATGTTTTATGGCACCATGCTGTATTAATAATGTTATAATATTAAACATGTGTCTTTACGATGATTCCCACCATGTTTTATATCAGTAATGTTATAATACTACACATGTATCTTTATCACCATGATTCTCGCCGTATGTTTTATGGCACATGTTAAAGGTGACATACTTAACCTGTCAATCATATTAACATCAGCACCTGGCTGTATCAGTAATGTTATAATACTACACATGTATCTTTATCATCATGATTCCCACCATGTTTTATGGCACCATGTTGTATCAATAATGTTATAATATTAAACATGTATCTTTACCATGATTCCCACCATGTTTTATATCAGTAATGTTATAATACTACACATGTATCTTTATCACCATGATTCTCGCTGTATGTTTTATGGCACCATGCTGTATCAATAATGTTATAATACTACACATGTATCTTTATCACCATGATTCCTGCCATGTTTATGGCACCATGCTGTATGAATGTTATAATACTACACATGTATCTTTATCACCATGATTCCTGCCATGTTTATGGCACCATACTGTATCAGTAATGTTATAAAACTACACATGTATCTTTATCATCATGATTCACACCATATGTTTTATGGCACATGTTAAAGGTGACATACTTAACCTGTTAATCATGTTAACATCAGCACCTGGCTGTATCAGTAATGTTATAATACTACACATGTATCTTTATCATCATGATTCCCACCATGTTTATGGCACCATACTGTATGAATGTTATAATACTACACATGTATCTTTATCACCATGATTCCTGCCATGTTTATGGCACCATACTGTATCAGTAATGTTATAATACTACACATGTATCTTTATCACCATGATTCACACCATATGGTTTATGGCACATGATAAAGGTGACATACTTAACTTGTCAATCATGTTAACGTCAGCACCATGCTGTATGAATGTTATAATACTAAACATATATCTTTATCACCATGATTCCTGCCATATGTTTTATGGCACATGTTAAAGGTGGCATACTTAACCTGTCAATCATGTTAACATCAGCACCTGACTGTAACATACTAAACATGTATCTTTATCACCATGATTCCCGCCATGTTTTATGGCACCATGCTGTATCAATAATGTTATAATACTAACATTAGCCGAGAAAGTTCATTCCGATTTTCCGACGTGGTTTCCCCTTGTCAGTGATGCAGGACGGAGGGCCTGACAAGGACAGCTGTCTAGTCCTTCGGATGAGACAAAAAACCGAGGTCCCATGTAAACATTGGAATGCACGTAAAAGATCCCTTGGCAGTTGGAATTCGATATAAGAGTAGGCGATAGCGCTGCTGCCCGGGCAAAATTTCCCTCATAGCACACTGTATGGCGTATGCCTGTCTTCATTAGCTCAATATAGGAGCAGAACAGTAGGACGTTAAACCCCATTTCATTTCATTTCCATGATTCCCGCCATGATTTATGGCACATGTTAAAGGTGACATACTTAACCTGTCAATCATGTTAACATCAGCACCTGGCTGTACACAAAAGTTGTCTTTGCACACTGAGATTAGAGAACCATTTTCTAGCTTGATGTTGTAGGTATAGGAATGACGGGATTCAAGTAACACAGGATCCTCATTAGCAGGAACTTTCACGAATTTATCTCCAACTTTCTCGCATCGCTGTTTGACTGGTACGTTACTAGTTAGACCGATGATAACAGCCTGCTGAATGTTTTTGTCCGCAAGGTCTAGATGCTGCCTGTGCAGTCTTTCTGCTTCGTTTGCCCTTTCGTGTGATGTACTCTTCACCTTTAGCTCTGGCTCGTTTACGTACGTTACGAATCCATGACGATGGATCAGCTCGCTTTCGTTTACGGCTCCTTTGGACAGTTTGCTCCTGATCGTGAAGTTCTTGTTCTTCGCCACTGGACGTTCCAGTAGGCAAAGCAGTCTCGTTCAGTTCCTCAAAGGTTTTAGAAGTACTTGTGACTGGAGAACCTACGTTATCCCTATTAACGGAAAAAATTAGAGGTGCTTTTCTGTTCTAGAACCATGGTGTCAGATTTCTGACAATTTTCTTTGTCACAGGACACGACCATAGAGTCATCTCCCTCAGTTGTTTCCTCCTCCTCATCAGGTGTGTAACTAGGGTCGTTTTCATCAGATTTTTCACTGTCACTCATACCCTCCACGCCATTGTCATTTATATCGCTTCCGTCAGTTAGCTGAAATGACTGTTCGAATGAAATAACCGGAGCAACAGAAATAACATTTGAACCCCCTCGATCATCGTCAGAACTACCGGCATCATCAATGCTGTCTCCATCAGCCATCAAAAGATCGACAACATCATCCACTGACATCCGTGGATCCCCATGACCTGAAAGAAAGAATGACATATTCGGAACAATTGAAGAAAATTAATCAAAGATCAAAATTTTCCAATATTGTTAGGATGAGGTTTGGATTAGGCCTAGGGTTAACAGTTAAGAATAC